CCCGGGGCATGGATGTCTGTGTTAGTATATGTGTTAGTGTGTTAGTATGTTTGAAATTGGCTGGCCGGGAACTAAAGTGGTCTAAGAAACATTTTGGCTAAAATTCAGGTTATGATAAATTTGATCTGAACAGGTGAGCATTTATATATTATAAAGTGGTCCATGTGTCATTTGTCGTAGTAGGTGCCGCATAATAAGAATTACTATTGACAAATGGTTTGGCAAATGGTACTTTATTATTGGCAGATGGTTTTAAGATTAGGCTGTTACGTGGTCTTAAGTCACATTGTGATTCGTACCAAAGACCACTTTAGTTCCAGGCTAGCGAATTATTTATTCATCTATCATCATTTTATGCATTATCTCCCCATGGCTAACAAACTTTGGGTGTAAAAATCGAATCCACCATGGAAATGATGATCCCCCGCAGAAAATGTTACGTGCACGTACCCCCAGCAAAATACTGGCATCGGTGACTGGACATCGAATGCTCATCGGTGGGCACGGTTGCAGTGGTCCTAAAATGACCGATTCGCGACAAAATGAAAAAAAAAACTTCCTTGTAGTTGTCATCTCTTTTCTGCCACCAAAAGAACTATTATCGACGTTTCATTGTGTTTACCTATGCCTTACAATGTCAATTTGCGGCCTTATTTTCACTCCTCAATATTCATCTCATTTTTTTGTTCCAACGACACAATTATTTTCGATATCAACTTCATTGCTACCCTGTGGATTTTATATTAGTAACACCGCCATGAACTTCACTAATTACATTAATATCGCCCCCAACACTGTCAGTAACAGAAACTGGATACCCACTGTCACTATAATAATTTAATAAGAGACAACACGTTTTCTGGCCACTGATACCAGTTTCTTGGGATAGAAACAATGTCATTAATAATTTAACAACACACAAGTACCAGTACATCAGCTGATCATAGCAATCAATAAGAATGGGCAATTTAATCGCAATAGAATATCGATTATTTTATATGAATAATCAAAAAATGAAAATCGATTAGTTTTACATCGATTAATCTGCGCATTGATTAATCTGCACATCGACTAATTTATCGATTATTTGGGTTGAATATTTTAATACATTCATTTTCAAGCTAAACCAAATATAAAAGTGCCTTCTAAACTCGTATTGTAACAACATCAGCCTATTTCACTACGATAACATTTAAATAAGAGACAAAGATAAGTGATTTATTTTATCTCATGAAAACTAATGGAAAGAAAAGTCACTATCAAGTGTCTGATATTTTAGTTACTGCATGCTTAACACCTCAACATTTATTTTAGTTCGTTTTGACATCATTGTACAAAATTAAAAAAATAATGATTTGTACGTTCCATGAACTATTTAGAACATGAGAAAAATTAATAGTCAATATGAAATTAAAAAATTAATTCGTAACAGTTAATTGATCCATTTTAATCGAACAGTGATATTAATCGATTAGATGTTAATGACGTGTTTGTTAACTATTCCTAGTAATCAGTCAGTCACTTGATGTCTCGCTTGCTTCTTTCTTATATTGTAATTTCCCTTCGTTATGTGCTTCTATCTTGAGTTGCTTTTTGCCCGAATTCGCATTGTTCGTATTATCTCCATTTCCACACGAAATCCCTCACATAATTAACACTCGAAATTTTTTCCGGAAAAATGTCGCTAATAACATTTTTTTGTGTGATGAAGTATTTTTGGCCCTGTGTATTTGAGAGCAGAGAAAAAAGAATTCATTATTTCCCCCGCTTCATTTTTGCAGCTTTAGAGCGGACAGGAGGGACAGTAAAAAGGAAGGGATTTAGACGATAATGGGAGATTATGCTTCATGTCACATGCTTCTTTTTTTTCGCTGATACTGGTTGCCCTAAATTGAAACTGAGTTACATCCACACTGTTTTGTAAAAACAATTTAAATCTTCATTGCATGAACGGCAGAAGCTTTCACCAACAAGAACGTATAACTTTAAATGGCCCACTATTATACGTGAGAAAATGGATAAAATGATTTTTAATGTAAAATTCGGAAGGAAGTAATCGGTTATCTTATAAACATTAATTCGAAATCTAGTACAGTTTTAATAATGGTTTAATCTAATATATAAAAATCAATGTTTGTTTCTTGGTTCGTGCTTAATGCGCTGCCGCGTTCATCCGATTGCGAAAAAAAATTGTCAGCTTATTATTTGCCCTTGTGGGAAAGATATATGTATAGTTGAATTATTGTAACTCCGTTAGAATGTGCTGCAGGTCGAGATGACCTTTATTTAAAATACAATACACCTGAACTTCATTGCTGCTGAGCGCCTCCGTGTGACGTGGGTCGAGACAGAAAGAGCGAGCGGCGAGAGAAGAGGGGTAAGAGAGAGAGAGAGAGAGAGAGAGAGAGAGAGAGAGAGAGAGGGGGGGGGGTCGGGAAGTGGAGAGAGGGAAAATTGATAGAGTGGGGAAATTTAGGGAGGGAAAAGAGAGGGAGAGGGAGGGGAGTTAGCTAATAAGAAAAATAACAAGGTAACTCTTTCAAATTTAAAAACCATATTTCCACAATTATTTTTTCAGCGGCACCAACGCGCCGGGTACGTGTTGGTGTTTGATATAAGTGGATGATTGATTTTGAGTCAGCGATTCTTATCGTTAATAAAGAAACATTTATCATTTCGGACGATAGACTTACATCTTCTTTGCACTTTACCCGTCCAGTTTCAAGTATTCATTTATTTCAATGTAGTGTTAGGTCTGTGCAGTAATGTTCGGTGAGAAAATAGATTTCAATGTTCTTTCAACTTTCCTATTATTACTTACCATCTTAAATAATGAAGCTGTTTTCTAAGTAAATATATGATTTTCTCTTCATTCCAGAACTCACATAGTGTTTTTAGTGTTTAGTCAAAAACACCAGATTCAAAACCTAACATTTCACAATGTACTAATACCTTCGTCACGAACTTTATCATTCACTTTTCACAATGTAAGTTCGTGTGGTTGTTATTTGTTCGTTTGACATTTCATAGAATTATACAACTTGAGTATTGTTAATTTAACTGCCATACGTAACGCAGACTTTTGATGTTACCATTTAACCATTGAACAGATTACCAAAAAAATTGTTAACTAACTTTACAATGGTAACTACTAACAAATGTGTTTAAACGTTTTGACATCTGTTTTTTGAAGTCTTCTGGTTATTCATTATTACCAAAATACGAAGTGAAAAATATTTATTGATAAAAGAAATGAAAACTATCTTACATAAAGCTCTAAAATGTATAACCATTCAATACGATGTCGGGCAGTACATGGTTTGTGCGAGGGGCAACACGAGCTTGTCACGTCATCCTAAGGAAAGCTGATCCAAGTCAAAACCGTTCAACGCGGTTGGTTCTTGTCATTACGTTTGGTTACTGATTTTGGACAGACAACGTACTGTAAGTAGTAAAGAGTAAGTGAAACGTTCTATACAATTGCCAATAATTAATTCAAATGAATCCACAATTAAAATTTAATATGAGGTAATTGGTGCTAGTTTTTAATGTTTTCTGGTTAATAATGTTGTTGGTGGTGTATAGGTGGATCATTTCTGAAATAGAAAGCCTTAAGTAATTGTGATCACGATGTAAGATCTCCACTTCGTTTCAAGTGATGTTCAGTATAGAAGTTATGATTAGTAATGACATTTTGTCTACTAGTATCCAACCTAACATTATCCTAGTAGATACAAACCCTGTCGCTATACTTATGTAACTTGCACCACTATTGAGTCTAAACATTTCATTTCATAAACTACATTCTGAATAAAACCAAAAAGACGTGTATCTGAACTTTTGAGGGGTATAGTTTCAAAATGCATACTAGTAATACAATTTTTGCATACTAATTTGTTTTGAGAAAAACAAGAAAATATCATATCATTTGTTTAAAACATTCTGCTGCTAAATATTTGAGATTAATGCCTGGCTAACGACAGTAAAAACCATATTATAAGATAATTCAAGAATATGTAGTCATTATGAAGAAAGTTGAGCTAAAAATTGGGAAAAGTCTCATTTTGGAATTTAATTGAAATGTTTTTTGTACATTTGATGAAAACGTATTTTTCTACGAGAAGAAACTTGTTTTTATTAAATGTTTCTACAAGATTATTAATTGTCTCCTTTTAATTTCTTTATTTCATGTGGCATTTTCTTCCAATATGAAGATCAACAACCAATAACTGCTAACTTTCACAATACTCATCATTCTCATTATCAACTTAGACAATGCTTAGGCCAGTTAGTTTTCTATAGAACGATAAATTTTCATTTTGATAAAATTTGGCTCCAAAACGTAGTGACACAAGGATCTCTGATTGCTACATTGGAATCTGGATTAGAATTGGAATTGGAAGATCGTATTTTGAAACGAAGTGAATATTGTTAAAAGATCGCATTTTATACAACACGTTATAAAGCCGGCTGGAGTGAACAAAAACGCGTTTTGTTACAAATCATTTTAAATAACGACGTATATCTGCAACGGACTCTAATACCAACGGCAACGAATATCTCATTTCTTTACCAAAAGTGGAAAATTTGCGTTTTATAACTAGACCTCTCATTGTTTTTAAAACTAAAACTTGTTTAGTAGGTTTTATGTAAATGTAATATTGCATTTTTGGAAGAGTATTGCAATGGATTATACAAATACTGATGATAATCACTGACTGATGATAATAGTGACGTGAATGAGGTTACTGCTACAGACTGAATAATTTGGTTAAATAAACTAAGAAAACTGTCAATTTAAACCCAGGCATTTAACAACCTTCAGTTTTATTTCGGGCACTATTCGATGCAGCCTTGGAAATTTACGACGAAATTCTGTGGAACACTGACTTTACTGTACTGCATAACGATCGCAACAACTCACGTAGTTTTTCCAAACAGCATTTAAATCTTCGAACAGAATTCTCTTCGGTTTACAACGGCACATTTGCCTTTTGCAGTACATCCGCCGTCATGGCTTGGAACTCGCTGTGATGAAACGGCGGGCATTGTGTCGCAGGTAAACAGCCGCGCCTGTCGCCTCATGACGTGTTTACCTTTACGATTGAGCCTGTAAATCCGTGCGTTAATGCCTCTGCCCAGGTCGTTGATTTCAGGAGAGTTTCGTTTTGTAATCGCCCCTCCCCCCCTGCATTGTCGTTCGTTTGTTGCAACTTGTTCCGCCAACGTGCTTTGGGTACTGTATTGATATGACAATCGCTGTTCGATATTCGACGTTGCCGCCCTGCCTCGGTGAATACTGTGCACGGAATAATGAGCTACACTTGACGGTTGTTCCTGCGATGAAGAACTTTTCAATAATTTTGTGTGCTCTCCGTAATTGTGACGGCGTATTTACTGATCAGTGCGAATGGCCTTCCGACTGCTGAAATGCTTGATGGGTATTGGAAACAAAGGGAGCATTCTGCAATGGCTGCGATTATAAGTGAATCACTACATTAATTTAAATCAATAGAATTGTTTTCGTGGTGAAATAGTATTATTTTTTTAGAAATAAGAATGTTTGAATAATTGTTTTCACATTATTTTGAATAAAATAATACTAAATACTATTATTTCAGAGATCTATTTTAAGATTGTGTTGTTTACATACACTTTAGTTCTTGAGGTTCATTTACTTTTTGAAAGTGAAATTATGTATCGGTTGAATTCATCAAAATATTCAGATTTTACTGCAATTAAACGAATAAGTCAACTGCTTCTCCTTGATAATACATTGTAGAAATAATGTTTTAAAATGTTATGAAATCCCATACATTCATTCTAGAATTTAAAAAATTAAAAGCCACTCAAAACCTAGAAACATAGTGAATATAGTAATTATTCGGAAAAAATCGATGTTTAAAAATGTAATTCATATATTTATTTATATATCGTATGAACTGAAGCTGCGGGAGGCTACATATGGGATTTTATTTCTTGGCGCCTGAGGGCCTGACTTCACGATGGAATATCTCACGGCATTTCACGTCTTTCTCGGTCGTGCCGCTAGATGTCGCATGATCGCCAGCACTGCTCGATACGGTCGCGATCATGCGACATCTAGCCGCACGACCAAGAAAGACGAGAAATGCTTTGAGATATTCATCGTGGAGACAGGCCTCACAAGCCAAGATATAAAAATCCAAGTATAAGCGATGTTTTCAATTAGAGGGAGAGTTTGCGACTATTGTCAGGTCTGCCTGGAATGGCATATATGATATTGTTTACATATTTTCGAGTTTTCAACCTTAGTAGCCATTACTATAGCTATTTAATGGATAACAATTCTTACTTTCCAGTCAGAAATTTATTGGAAATTTCACAGGATTAGTCAGTAATATTTTAATTGCATTTTGGCAAACCACTAGGTCTTTGCCAGGTTTTGTCAACAAACACTTTAAATTTATAAATAAATATAATTTTCTTAAACAGCAAAGAAACTAATTTACGAGGTTAATCTATCTGTATGCGAGTGGAACTGGTAAATCATTTGGCTTAATTCAGAAGCAATATGAGGCCTTTCTCAGAATGGCAGGGTATAGCGTATTTCTTGTGAGCTGAAAATTTCTAAACTTTGTAAACCATGAAAATAAGAAATTAGTAGCTCAAAAAATATTGTATCAATGAACAAATCAGTGATTAGTGAAAAATGAAGTTCCGTGATATTTTAATTTTCAATTAAGAAATCATAGGCAACAATTATTGGGCATTTGCCGTATGAAATATGAACTGCCTCTCATGTCCTAAGATATAAATGATTCACAATATTGTTTCATAAAGCGTTTGTACGAAAAATATTCAAAACTCACGGTGCAAATTGAAGCGTAATATTGCGCACCGGCATTAACGAAAAATTAACGAAAATAATATGCAAATGAAAATGTAATCAAAATTATTTGCGCGTACAAATATGTTAATCTAATTCTGTTAAAATCGTTGTAATGATTGAGTACTTCAGTGTAGTTTTTTGTAGCAAAACTAGATATGATTTTCGTCGTTGGCAAAACAACCAAAACATATTTCTCAAAGGTTGCCTTTTGCCCCGCAGCGTAGCGGAAGCTAGAATACTGCATAAAATGTGTATACCCTTTTTTCTTCCATTTAGCCCTCACGAAACGAATCGTATATTTTAATGATTCCTGTAAACGGCCGTGTCATTCCACGTCCATTCCCCCGGATGACACGGATTTCCTATTTCCAGCCCAAGCAACGCCTTTCGTCCGCCGCCCTTCAACGGCGTGTCTCCGCCTCGCCCTCCAGTTGTAGGTCGCGCGGTCGTAAAAACGCGGGGGCGCGTGGGGCTGTCCTCAAGTTGGGTGCAAAACGAACAGAAGGAGGTGGGGGGGGGATTGTACTCTGAGGGCTAGTTAGAGCGCGGGCGAACTGGGCCAAAAACCCCAGCGGCTTTGAATATTCATTAGCAGCCCTTCACGCGACTGATGGAGCCAGGCAACGCCCCCGCTCGCTAATATGCGGCGCGGCGTGTTTGCCTATTTGTTTATTGATGTAAGGCGGAGAGTGCGAGGGCGGTCGTAAGGGTAGTCGAGGGCACGTGATGGAAAGTGATGGAGGGTGCGGTTGCAAGGGTGGAAGTGGAAGGACCTGGCGGAAGGGTTGTGGGTGTGAAAGCGACGGCGTAACGGATGTGAGGATCGATTCAATGGTAATTAAAGGTACACGTCACCTCGTTCTGAAATGACGTTCTGTTTTGTGTCGCCAGAAGAAAATAGTATGACACTGGATAAGAAATCAGACTTGACGCGAAGTCATAAGTCTTTATTGTATAGCTTCGTTACGGATTCGATGCTTTGATTTCGGTTGTTCAGTGGAATGCTATACACAATTGATTGCACGTAGATTACTTCCCAAAGTCGATAAACAATCGATCAAGAACTACCAAAATATAAATGAAGCTTAGTAATGAAGTGAAATATGAATCAATTTTAATTTGAATTGAGGTAAAAAAAATAAGTACGAAAAATAAAAAATAAAAATGTAAACAACCTGCGGTGCGCGGGAAGTGGCATCCAAATAAGAGAGGTCGTGTAAGGGAAAGAAGGTAAACATTACTGTGTGCAAGAGAGATAGCGAGATATACCGCCGAGAACAGACGAATCGCGAGATGAATACAACGCGGGATGGGGGCTAGAACACTTTTTATTTTACGTAACACCTGCACTACGTGGACGGACGGAAAGGTTAGAAAGAGTGTGTAATCTTCAAAGAAAGCGGAACGTCATTTATGGCACAAGCTATTCTAAACCATTGAAGTCAATGAGTAATAAATGGATAGTGTTGAGTTACCAAAGAAACGTGCCTGAACAGCCTGATGTGAAAAAATTCAAAAATATGCTTATATAAAATTATAATCCGTCTGCGTCCTGAGAATGACAAAAGAAAATATATTTTGATATACGGTATTAACACATTAGGCGAAGTACGTATGTAATTGTACGATATCACCTCAAAAATTAATAATACATTTAAAAACGATATTTGGTATAACCAGATTCTTGGTCAGATACAAAAATAATTACCCACAATCCAATCAATCGTCATCACATCAGCTCTTGGTCACGTCATTGGATATCTAACATGAAACAATGATCAATAAACGTACTCTATTATCTGGAGTATTCATTGTTAGAGGCGACAGAATGAAAGGATATTAGGAAACGAGACTTCGGCATATGACATGTGATAGATTATACGGAAAGGTGTCGGAGTAGGCCTGCAACGTTAAGAGATTGTAATTAAGAACAAAATAAAGCAGTTCAATTGCTTAAAAAATAATAATATTTGTATCATTTATTCTGTCGCGTAGAGTATATGGATCAGATAGTTGCATGGGCTAGTTTGACTGAAGTCTGGGTCAACACGTTTTTGTCGTCTTGCAAGATCTCGAACATCAAATGTACACGGAGCTTCAGTCTATCAAGTGCCGTTTGCATTTGTAAAACTTCATTCAATTAATACAAAATGTCCAACTTGTTATGTACTAGGAAAGTTTTAATTGAAGAGTCGGATATAAAAATTAAAGATTGATGACAAAATGTTACGTGTAGTTACAGTGCTAATAGAATCCACAAGGAAATACTAGAATTGGAGTAGTAAGGTAAAATGCACATAGTGTATATGGCGTTAGGAGTGTGTGAGAGAGTAGAGCTTTAACTACTTCAGTCATTATTCCACAGGCGTAGTGCATGTTATATTTTGGGGTGTTTTGTCCTCACTGGAACATGAGATTCGGGACGATCTACACGTCGGCATATAAGGTTTTCTCTCCAGTTATCTGCAGCGGGACACAGCCCAAGTTGGAACTAGACCTAAGCTAAGTACAACGGATTCCCAGACTTACTGTATGTGGCAGTAGAGTGCATGCAAGTGAGTGTGTGTGTGTGTTAGGGAAGAGAAAGTGACTAGAATAAGGAAGGAAGGAAGGATCGCGCGTTATCTGTACTGTTTGCTAAGGTCCTGCTCGGGTATTAGCCTGGTATTGATCGTGAAAAGCACGAAAAACTACGGATCAGCGTAGTAGGCCCCTCTTTCAGACACTGCGTATGTTGAGGACTTACATTGTTAGGCCACGCGCCTATTGACAGCGCAGCAAAATGGCCTGCAACAGCTTCACGACAGAAGCTGGTAAGCATTTGTTCTCCACTGGCTGGAGCTGGCGGCACACGTGTCTCGTTACAAGCGCCCAGCCCCGCTCATTCCCGACCATCCCCGGCCTCTCCGCCCATCTCCTCCCTGCCCATTCCCGCTCCGCCAAATCCGCCCGCTTATCTCCACCCACCCGCACGCTCCTGTCAGCCCGGCCCGCCCAGTCCATCACTTTTCGCCCCGCCCGCCACCCTGCACGCCCCCCGCCACCCTGCCCGCCCCACACTGCCGCCCTCGCCCGCCGCGCCCACACTGCAGCCCCGCCCGCCCCCCCCCTGCCCCGCCGCCCACCCTGCCCGCCCGCCGCCCGCCCCTCCCCGCCCGCCCCGCCCGCCCCTGCCCGCCCGCCCCCCTGCGCCGCCCCCCGCCTCCGCGCCGCCGCGAACGACCCCTCCCCGCCCCTTCCA